CGGTGGCGGCGGCGGCGGCGGCGGCAGCAGCAGCGGTGGCGGCGGCAGCGCAGACTCCCACTAGCCCCAGTGCCGCCCAAGGCCCGAGCTTCTCCGCCCCCGTCAGGCCCCGCCCCTTATAAGGCCCTCCTCTCGGCCCTCCCTCTGCTCTCGCCCAGCCCCCTCTCCCTCAGCTGCCCCCTCTTCTCCCCCCTCCACCCCGGTCGGTGGAGGCAGTGAGAGCGGCTGGAGACGCCTAGGGGGCGGGCGCTAGGCGCCAGGAACGCCGAGAACTACGGTGGGGGTGGGGCAGACAATGCGGTAAAGACCCGCCGCGCAATACCGTTTCTTCTGGCCGGCCCCTCCAGGGTCAAACTACGGCTAGAAACCTCTCCGTGCCTCTTGGCTCGGGAGTGGGGAGAAGGCAAGGGTGGCACGAGGACGGACCGAAATGGGGAAAGGGAGGTCTGAGATCTGACATACCACACTGGAGACGGGACGGGGCGGTGGGGACTGTCAGGGTGTGTGACCAGGACAGGGTTAATCGCGTGAGTCGCAGCCGCGTCGCTCACAGTTTGACTAGGGCCGCTTGTTTTTGTTCCATTGTGACCGTAGCTCCGCCGACGAGTACCCGGATGATGACGTCACCGCCCTCCCCCCCTTTCCGGGACTGCGGGAGGAGGGGAGGCGGAAAGCTGAGATCCCCGAGACCACGCGCTGGGCGGTCGCAGTCGCGGTGCCTGGGGGTCCCGGCGGCGCAGCTGACCCGCTTCACGTGACGCGCGAGCCAGCCGGGCCACGGGGCGGCGGCAGAGCGAGGTCCCAAGAGCTTGGCCACCTGCTCCCCGCCGATAGGGGGAAGGTGTGGCTATCTCCCGCCGCGGGAGGAGGGGAAGCTGGGAGTTTAGGCCTTCTCCCCACCCCAAGAGGGAGGTGCTCTGAGAAACTGTTTCTCACGATCATGCGGCCTCAGAACCTGAGAACGTTCAGGCTTCCTTACAGCCTAACTGCCTGTAGCCGAGAACTCTGGCCACAGGAGCCCTTAAAACGGATCAGCAAAGAAAAAAATCATAAAGAGCCCCAGACAGCATAGAGACTAGACTGTACTAATGTAGCAAGACTCGCCTCCGTTGTCAAATCGTCAGCAATATTCACTGTTAGAACCCGGAAGGGCCTTATGAATTCATCCGCTGTCATGGACTATTTTCTGCACGTTTATATTCCAAAGTGCAGGTCTCAGGAAAAATTTATCAGGCTAATCTCAAATAAATGGATGATATACGGTCTACCTAGGATTCCCAAATGAAAAAGAAATCAATAAATGTCCTGATTTGCCACAGATTGATTTCCTTTTGACCTAAAAATGTCCACGGACACCAAATCACATGCAAAATCATAGTAACCCCCTAAAAAAACAGAATCTATTATATTTTGTATAGAACAAAGGTCAGATTCAAGTTATGTTAAATTACATTAGTTTGTAATAAAGGATTATCAAAAATAGAACCCAAACTATATCGGGTGACACAGAGCACTGTTAACTGGTGTTTTAAATTTGCAAACCATGTCTCTACACAGTACTAGACTGTTTACAAAGCTTCCACCACAAAATTATAGTACCCAAGATACATCATTTATACCCCTAATAACTCTTAACACATGTTATCTTGATTTTATAATTATTTCCATGAATTGTTTACCTCCCCCACTAGCTTATGGGATTCTAAAAAATAGACACTACCACCAATGTACACTGTAGGCTGCTTATCTTTGCTAAGGAAACAGAAAGAGTAAATGATTTGCCAAAGATCAGACAGGATTGGTAAATGCTGAACACAGGTCTTTTAAACCTATGAAAGATGTACCTTTAACAAGGATGTCTGCTCTTAACAATTCTGTTCAACATTGTACTTCTGTTTCTTGCCAGGGCCAGAAAAAGAAATGAAAGGCATCCAGATAAGAAAGGAACTATCAAACAATATTTGCACATGACACGATTTTTTTTTTTTTTTTTTTTAAGTCACCCAGACTGCAGTGTAGTGGCACGCTCATGGCCACCGCAGCCTCTACCAGCTGGGCTCAGGTGATTCTTCCACCTCAGCCTTCCAAGTAGCTGGAACTACAGGTGCGCACTACCACACCCGACTAATTTTTTTATTTTATTGTAGAGACGGACCTCTCCAAGTTGCCCAGGTTGGTGTCGAACCCCTGGGTTTAGGCAATCCTCCTGCCTCCAGCTCCCAAAGTGCAAGGATTATGGGCGTGAGCCACCGTGCCTGCCCTGACATGATTTTATATATAGAAAATCCTGGAGAATTCACTATAAAGAAAAAAAAAGAATAAAGCTAATAAGCGAGTTTGGCAAGGTTGCAGGATATAAAAATATTTAAAAGTCAACTATAGTTTTATATACTAGTAATAAACAATCTAAAATGAAATTAAGAAAATTCCATTTATAATAGCATCATGCTTAAGAATAAATTTAACAAAAGAAAGGCAAGATTTGCACACGGAAAACTACAAAACATCATTGAAAGAAATTAAAGATCAAAATAAATGAAAAACATTCTATGTTCAGGAATTAAAAGACTTAATACTATTGACATAACAATACTCCTTTAAAAAGGAGAACAATGTTGGAGGGCACCTATTTCCTGATTTCAAAACTTACTACAAAACTATATTGCATAAGGACAGGTATATACACCAATGGAATAAAATAGAGAGCCCAGAAATAACCTTGAACATATATGGTATATTGATTTTCAATAAAGGTGCCAAGACCATTCATTCTTTTTAAAAATTAGTGCTAGGAAAACTGGATATAGATATAGATGCAAAACAATTAAGTTGGACCTTTGCTTCACACCACGTACAAAAACTCAAAATGAATCAAAGACCTAACCATAAGAGGTAAAACTATAAAACTCTTAGACGAAAACATAAGGAAAAGTTTCATGATATTGGATTTGGCAACAATTTATTAGATAAGACAATAATAGCACAGATGGAAAAAATTAGATAAATTAGACTTTGACAAAATTAAAACTTTTGTGCATCAAAAGATGCTAACAACAGAGTGAAAAGGCAGCCTACAGAATGGGAGAAGATACTTGCAAATAACATATTTCATAAGGGAGTAACATCCAAAATATATAAAGAACTCCTACAACTCAATAACAGCAAAACAAAAAACCCAATTCAAAAATGAGCAAAGGACTTGCATAGACATTTCTCCAAAGAACATATGCAAATGAATATTAAGCACAAGAAAAGACAATTAACATCACTGTCATTAGGATATGTAACTCAAAAACACAATGGTATACAACTTCACACCCATCAGAAAGGCTATTAACAAAAAACAATGGAAAACAAACAAGTGTTGACCAGGATGTGGAGAAATTGGAGCCCTCCTACACTGCTGGTGGGGAATATAAAATGGTGCAGCTGATGTGGAAAACAACGTGGCAGTTCCTCGAAAAGCCAAACATGAAATTACCATATGACCCAGCAATTCTACTCTTAGGTATATACCCAAAAGAACTGAAAACAGGGACTCTAACAGAAACTTGTATACCACCATTCCTAGCAACATTATTCACAATAGCCAAAATGTGGAAACAATCCAGGTGTACATCAACAAATGAGTGGATAAACAAAATGTGGTATATACACACAATGAAATGTTATTCTGCCTTAGGAATGAAACTGTAATACATGTACAACATGGATGAGTCTTGGAAATGTTATGCTAAGTGAAAGAAGCCACAAAGAAAAAGCAACATATTATGATTCCACTTATATGCGGTACCTACAATAGTCAAAACTCATAGTGACATAAAGCAGAATAGCAGGACTGGGAGGAGAGGGTAATTGGAAGTTATTGTTTAATGGGTATAGAGTTTCTGTTTGGAATAATGAAAAAGTTCTAGAAATGGAAAGTGGTGATGGTCGCACAACATTGTGAATGTACTTAATGTCACTGAATGGGACTCTTAAAAATGGTTAAGATGCTCAGCCTGTAATTCCAGCACTTTGGGAGACAGAGGCGAGAAGATTGCCTGAGCAACTTGGTGAGACCTCATTTCTACAATAAATCACAAAAACTAGCCTGGCGTGGTGGCATGCCTCTGTAGTTCCAGCTACTTGGAAGGCTGAGGCGGAAGGATCGCTTGAGCCCAGCAGGTCTAGGCTGCAGTGACTGTGAGCGTGCCACTGCACTCCAGCCTGGGCGACAAGAGTGAGACTCCAACTCAAAAAGAAAAAGATGGTTAAGATGATAAATGGTTAAAATGATAATTCTATGTTATGTACATTTTGCCACAATAAAAAAAAATGCAAGCCGGGCTCGATGGCTCAGCCTGTAATCCCGCGCCTTTGGGAGGCTGAGGTGAGTGGATTGCCTGAGCCCGCGGGTTTGAGACCTGCCTGGGCAACGAGACCTCATCTCTACAATAAATCAAAAAATGAGCCGGGTGTGGTAGCGCGTGCCTGTCATTCCAGCTACTTGGAAGGCTGAGGCGGAAGGATCGCCGGAGCCCAGCAGGTCGAGGCTGTGGTGGCCGGGAGCGGCCACTGCACTCCAGTCTGGGCGACAGAGTGAGACTCCAACTCAAAAAAAAAAAAAGAAAGAAAGAAAGAAAAATGCAGAAAAGAAAAACCAGCCAAACACTGGCAGTTTCATATGGTTTAGTCTATAAATTACACACTTACCAGTCATTTTAGTCTCAACTCTCAAGAAGAGCTCACC